TGTTTCCCCCAGCATATAACTTAGCATACTGATGAGCACTGGATGGCTTAGTTCATGTATAAAGAATGGAACATAATGAAGGAGGGGAATTTATTTTTTGTTTACAGAAATGCTTACAAAAATAGCTGGCCTGTCATATTATTATCTAAACCATTATTAATGTGTTACTGAAAATGGCCACAAAAGACAAGACAAGTGCCTCCCCCACAGGAGCCCCTTGAGCCATGCCCAAGCCAGTGAGAGAGTAAGATGCTTGCTCACACTTTTGAAGTAGCCTTGGATTCCAGTTTACTGGAATCCAGTTACTGCTCCCCCCATTTGCTCTGGGATTCAGGTGCTTTTTAACCTCTCCTCACCTGGAAAACTTCAGCCCCTCTCACAGGAATGTAGTGAGGAGAAAACCAAACAATGCATGCAGAAGTGCTCTGAAAAGCTAAAAGATCAAATACAAATGTAGATATTATTATTCTCATAAGGTCCTGAATGTAGTCACCCTTTTGTTTCTGATTTCAAGTGGGGGAGAAAGACTGCTATTTCCTTTTGCACCTAATTTGAACAAAAGATACAAACATCTCACTTTGACTTTTCTCCTACTTCAAGCATTTGGCTTGAAGAAGCCTTCTGTCAGCAAGCTGCCAACTAATAGAGTTGAAAGGAAATCCAAACTCCACTCCAAGTCAGGGGTGTGGAGGTGGAGAGAACAGGAAACACTGCTGGAACTTTCCTGGTCTCCAAAAAGAAACTGAACAGGACTGCAGAGGTAACTATAATCACACAACCTGTTACAGACCCTGCAGAGAACCAGATTTGTTTAAAAATTGAATAACAGGGGGAGATGGCTTGACTCTGCTTAAAGCTTATCTAGGACAGAATCTCAACTGTTGAGGTAGAAATGACATAGGCTTTGCCCCAAGCATAAGAGATGACGAGTGAAGGGTCATCCCGTCTTGGGAACTTGTCCCTATGCAGTTTCCTCTGCCTGGAACGCACCTTTCCTCTTCTCCTTGTCTTTTCTCAATGAACTATTTCTTAGGGAAGACTCTCTGGCTGACACCCCCACCACACCCCATTCCAGATCATATCTAGTGTAAAAAAATGTGAGTAAGCTAAACTTCTCCTTTATAATCGCTGATCATTGTTGGAATTAGTAATTCATTAATTTAACTGATTAGTGTCTGTTGTTCTCTCTCCCCTCCTCAGTAAGCTCCCTGAGTTCAGGGAAGAGTTTGATTTTTATAGAAACCCCAGAACAGAATAGAGTATCCCCTAGCTCAAAGTGAGTCCTCATTAAGTATTTATTAAATAAGTGATGAAAGAAATACGATCTGAAAAGAACTTCAAAGCAGATTATTTCAGATCACTAATTATTTCTATATAGGCACATTTATGCAAATATATGCTATTTACAATAAAACCCTTAATTTACTATTGCTCAGGGAGAACATATTGCAAATGGAGGGAAACCATAAAATGAAAAGGTTAATAAATCAATTTTAATAACAAGTTAGTAGTAAGGAAATATGCTACACACCCTGAATAAAGAGTTCTTACAGACTGGATGGTTTACAAGGTCCCAACTGCCCACGTTTACACATTTTGAAGAAGGGATGTGAAAAGGGCAGAACTATTGCTCCACAGGCTTGAAGGCACAGCTCACAGTCACATTCTGTTTCTTTTCTTCTGCTCCGAAAAGTTGCAAAGTATGGCTAATTTGGCATTTATTCATATGAGCATAAATAAATGAGGAAGGTAAATTTTCCAAAAAATTCAAGCACTATGGCAAGATAAAGCAACTAATATATATATTTTAAAGATCTTTTATTTATTTGAGAGAGAGCATGAGGGAGGGGGCGGGGAGAGGCAGAGAGGGAGGGAGAAACAGAAGCAAGCTCCATGAGGAAGCCCCACGAGGGGCTCAATCCCAGGGTCCTGGGATCATGACCTGAGCGGAAGGCAGATGCTTAACCAACTGAGCCACCCAGGCGCCCTGCAATTAATATTCTTAATTTCTATCAAGCTATACTCCAAGACACCATGCTTTTTGGATAAAAGTCAGTCCCCATCCCCCTTCCATCTGATTTTTTTTCTCTTGCACACACTTATTTACATACAATTTAGTGCCAATTTTCAACAAAATAAGTTTCTTTTTAATTTTTACACTGCGATCTTCCTTTACCTTTCAATTATTCTATGGAACATATAATTATATTCTATCTTCCTCACTAAGTTGAATTTCTGAACTTCTGCGAGCTAAGTCTACCCCATTCATTTGTGTGTTACAAATATAAAGAATACGGATGCTGAGTAATAAAGATCAGGTCTTTTCTGGAGCTTTTAAAGCTATAGTGTTTCTTTTCTTTCCTTCGAAAGGTTGTACACTATAAATTACATTACAAATAAAAATGAATTAAGTGAGACTGAGGTCAGAGAAGAAAAACAGAGGCGCCAGTTTCTGTAGAGGGTCTTTAATGGATGATACTTTGAGGCTATCAATTTGGAAAGAAAAAAATCAAATAAAAATCCATTTCATACTCATTTTGCAGACCTCATCCTTTGTCTTCATATAAGTAACTCTGCCAATGTCTTATTTTATATAGGATCTATGTTGTTCTTCTACTCTGTTCTAACGTTATACAAATTCTAACTCCTTAAAGGCAGACAGAAATTAAACCATTCAAATGCTGTTTGTTTAGTAATTTCAAAATAACAATAAGTAAGGCAACTTTCACCTATGTGGTTTGTTTTTTTTTTAAGATTTTATTTATTTGACAGAGAAAGAAAGAGAGCACAAGCAGTGAGAGCGGCAGGCAGAGGGAGAGGGAGAAGCAGGCTCCCCGCTGAGCAGGGAGCCCGATGCGGGGGCTTGATGCAGGGGCTGGATCCCAGGACCCTGGGAAATATGACCTGAGCTAAAGGCAGACGCTTAACCCACCGAGCCACCCAGCGCCCCGCACTTTCACCTGTGTATCACCAAACCTGCCACTCTTCCTTTATTTTGCCATTGCTCCTACTACTACTAGCAGAAATCCTAAAAGATCAGATAATAAAAACCCAAAGAGATCTTCATATTTTCTTCAACTTCACAGTCAAAGCCCATCTCAAGTTATGAATTGTCTTTATCCTCGAGATTGTTTGAAACTTGTTAATTTATTTTTTTCTTTGGGAAAGTAAGAATAAGTCATGATCAAAGAGAAAACTGCCACTTGTTGCCCTTTGTGGAGTCTCTTCTTTACTCCATTTAGTGGCAGCTGGGAGTGCAGAACTAGGTTTATTCCATGCTAGGGGAAGAATCCCCCCCCCCCCCAATAATGGTGAACATCTAACAGAGTTCCTTGAATATAGAAAATGTTCAATGTAAATTTGGCAAAAGAATGGGTGAATAAAAGAATAATGCAGTGTTCACTGTTTAAAAATGAATCATTTCCACTCCTTTATCTGACTACAATTTGAAACCCCTTGATAATCAAGCTTTACAAAATTGGTTTAAGGTCTCCCTACAGAGAAATAGACAATGGCACAGAGAAATGTTGTGGCTTCCGGAGAGCTTAGAAAGAAGGACCTGTGCTCAACCAAGTTTCACATGAAGTAACTTGTCTGAGGGACACTTCCAAGCTTCTCCAGAAGAAGAAAGGATTGTTTTGGAGTATGAAGCAAAGTAAGGTGTTCCCAGGAGCAGAAATATTTTAAATGTTTTCACTTAGGAAGGTCAATGGCCTGTTTAAATCAAACCACCACCCTTAGCCTTGGTCCATCAGGCTATTAGGGAGATACAGTGTGACTTACTCTTGGAGAAGTCTGCTTTTATCTGGCCTACATTTGTATCCTGCTTGCCTCTGTACTTTTCCTTTGCTTTTACTTTTTTCTCTCAATGACTATGGAGTTTCCTGTTTGATTCTTTATAGGGGTCTTAGTGTTTAAGGTGTGAAGGAATGAATAAATCCTAATCCTAAAACGATAACTGTCTGTTTCAGTCTTCTTTAATAAAAGCGCCAACTCCTGGCTTCTCCACGGTGTCGCTCTTTTTTTAAGAGGACGCGGAAGGCCACCACCCAGCAGACGTCCCTGCGGGTCAGGAACCGCGGCAACTGCCTTTCCTCCCAAGTGCGCTAAGGGCCACCCCCAAGGAGTAGTGACTTCAAGGGCCGGTACTCCGTCCCCTGTGCTAAGTGAGAGAGAGAGCACAGACTCCCTTTAAAGGCAAAGTCTGCAAACAAGAATAACCTTGAGAAAGTCCCTTTATATGCAGATCAATGCTCCGGAACGTTGCCAACCACTTACAACTCCCCTTTGACATTTCACAGATGCGTTTTCATGCTGGAGAAGGGGCCTCTTTCTACCCCGGAACCCAAAACCCCGCTTTGTGCCTCGGGTGCAGTTGGGTCTTATCGGATGAGCCGCTGGGGAAATGTGGGCCCCCTGTCCTCTCCTTGGTCAACTAGAGTCACCCTGACAGAGGACCCCCCTGCCTCCCAGGGGCTACTTCTGTGGTGCCTTGACCTGAGTCTCTCCGGGGAATTCTCTCTCTGTTCTGGAGGTCTCGTGGAATTCCAACTTCTCAGTCCCAAGGATCTGCCCAGAACCATCCGGCGGTCCCCAAGCCCCAAGCTCTGGGACGGCTGCGGGGCTGCGCTAGCCATTAATGGCCATCATCCATTTTTAATCAGAAAGATCACAAGAAAGATGGTAAGCGAATCCCAGTCGCAAGTCAATTTAAATAACATTCCTGGGGAAATCCAATCACTTAAAACTGAGACACCTACGCGAGCAAGAGCCCCCGCCCGACTGGCGGGGAAGAGCGCGACGGCGGAATTAATCGAGATCAGGGGGCTCCCGGCTCAGCGCGGAGCGTTAACCCTTCCAGCCCCGGAGGGTGACAAGGGGGGCTTGGAAGAAGGCCGCCGGCGGGGCGAAAATGCCCACGGCGGCCACGCACAGGCGGTCCCTGTCACCTTGGGCAGCTCCGAGCGCCCTGAGCCCGGCCCGGGCGGCTGGGCGCGCGGCGTTAAGGTCAGCAGCTCGGGAGGCCGCTCCGGCGGCGAGGAGCTGCCGCCTCCCGCAGCCTCGGCGCGCCTCGGGCTCCTCCTTCCGCCCAAGCGTGGCCCAGTGAGCACTGCTCCGGCCGCAGGTAGCGGAGGCGCGGAAGGCGGCGCGCGGGACCCAGCGGAGCGCCCGGGGAGGGGCCGACGGACACGCGGACAGACGGCTCCCCCAACCCCGCCCTGGACAGTAGCGACTGTCCGCGCCGGCCATGTGGGGACCCGGAGTCACAGCGGAGGGCCTGTCGGTGGCGCCGGCCCCGCCGCCGCTGCTGCCGCTGCTGCTACTGCTGGCGCTGGCGCTGGTGGCGCCCTCGCGGGGCGGCGGGGGCTGCGCGGAGCTGGCGTGTGGCGAGCGGGAGCGCTGCTGCGACGCGGCCAACGCCACAGCGGTGCGCTGCTGCAAGCTGCCGCTGCACGCCTTCCTCGACAACGTGGGCTGGTTCGTCCGCAAGCTCTCCGGGCTGCTTATCCTGCTCGTGCTCTTCGCCATCGGCTACTTCCTGCAGCGCATCATCTGCCCCAGCCCACGCAGGTACCCGCACGGTCCGGCGCGGCCCGGGCCGCCGGGGGCCGCGGGGCCGCCCGACGACGACGACGACGACGACTCGCCCGCGCTAATGCGCGACGAGGCGGCCGCCGGCTCTCAGGACTCGCTGCTGGACAGTGGCGGCGGGGGCCGAGGCCGGGGAGGCGGCGGGCGCTCGGCCCCCGACTGCGCCTCGGAGCACGAGCTTCGCGTGGTCTCGCCGGTCTTCCTGCAGCTGCCCAGCTACGAGGAGGTCAAGTACCTGCCCACTTACGAGGAGTCCATGCGGCTGCAGCAGCCCAGCCCCGGGGAAGTCGTGCTGCCCGTGTCGGTGCTCGGCCGCCCGCGAGGCGGCTGCGCCGGGGAGCGCGACGGCGGCGAGGGCCGCTTCCCGCTCATCTGAGCGTCTGCGGCCGCTCGAGGGCCGCGCGGGCCGAACGCGCCTAGGGGGGCTGCGGGTGGGACGCAACGACAGAGGTGGCCGCTGCCACCGCCGCCTGCCTCAGACCCGCGCTGGCACCCGGGCCGAATCGCCGGTCGCCCGGCGCCGGGGTTGGAGTCACCCACGCTCCAGCTTTGCCCCGGGATCTTAAGTTTCCCTACGTTTCATTCGGTTCAAGGAAACGTCGGGCGCGCGCGGCGGGGGCGACGGCAGCGGACGAGGCTGCGGTGCAACTTCGAAGGACGTCCCCGCCCTCAGCCTCTCCTCCGCCCTGTGTTCACTCGTAAGTGCCTGCCTGCTTTCCGAATCAAAGAGAACACGTGAGCCCTTGAGTGCGTCGAGCGAAAGGCAGTAACCTTTAGGGATGAGGGGAAGGACGCAGGTCCATCCCTCTGCCTCTCGCCTCGACAGGGCACGGTCTCCCAGGATGGGCGGAGGGCGCGGAGCCGTAGGGCCGAGCGCCGACTGGAGACTGCTGCGCGCGGTCGGGGAGAGCAGCACCTAGGTATGATTGAATCCCTCCCTGCCTTGCGGAGAACCGAAATAAACCCGCTTGGTGTATTCCTGGCCCAGCATAGTCCCAGCTGATGGCTCACAATATGGGGGGGGGGGGGGGGGGATACCTGTAATGTCCAGTTGGGTGCTGTACCTATTGAAGATACAGCAGTTAGGTATATAGAAGACCTTATTCTTAATAAGGTACAGTTGGACTTTGGATTTGCCAGTAACTGAGAAGATATTTATATTTATTTGTCTTTTATTTTTATATTTTTACCATGTATTGAACGTATCAGGAGTGTATTTGTGCAATTAATGACAAGATAATCGTCTTTTCCTCTTTTTTAGGCCTTAATGGCCCGGGAAGTGTCTGTCATTATTGTTTAAGAAAATATTGGACATGATTTCATTTACAATGGGGAAGAAAAAAGAGGCATGGGCAAAGGAGAAAACGTACGTGACATAAAACACGTGAAGGATATCTTATTTTCGCTATTTGAGAAGAATATATTTTATTTTTAGTACTGTGGCATAATATATAACTTTTGTAATAACTGTAGATTGTGTAGTCTGGGTCTTAATTGCATCATTCACCACGTAGTTATATGTAGATATGATTGATACATATATGCCATACCATGAAGCATGATGTCATGTGCTTTTCCCTTTGTTTTGAAGTACATTCCACAACATGATGCAAAACATAAGAACTTGTGACTTCTCTTCAAAGCCATAATTGTGCAAGGAATGTACTGCAGAAGGATTTAGTCAGCATATCCTAAGAAAAACATAAATGTCATTGTATCAGTTCTACCATTCTATGAAATGTTCTTTAAGCAAATGGTAATATAAAATAATATATTAAAATGCATTGTGTATAATGTACATATGCACATAGTCTATGTACAATATACATATTGTATACCATATAATTACCACAGTTTATGACTGCCATGAAAGGAAAAGAAGGAAAACAAAGGTTTCTCTTCTTGGGGAAGGATGAGTGTTACATTAAGAAAGATTTTACATGTGAACTTCACATATGTATCTAGAAACATTGTTGTTATGATTTAAAAAGTTTGACAATCCTGAGATTGTATTAGAAGAAACTGATCTGATTAATTTGAGAAGTGATTTAATTGTGAAATTAATTTGAGAAAATGATTAAACTTTTAAAAGCTAATAGAAAAAGTCTGACAGTTCTAAGGAAGTCTGAATTGTAATAGAATGGTTTACTCTAAACTGCTAGAAGCTAATGACCCTGTCATTAAAATCATTTGAAGTGTTATTAAAACACAGAAAAACTTTAAAATCTTTCTCTGTGCAAATTGTATCAGATGTGTGACTATATGGCAATGCATTAAAATATGAAATGTGTATCTTTGTTATTTAAAAGCAATTTTAAGCTGTGTTTGGCAAAACAATAAGGAGTTGAGACTATTTAAATTGAGACTGGTACAAGATTTAATGAAATCACATCATATTGAGTAATTGCATATGTTAATATCATTCAAACACTATAAATTTTAGTTACATGTGGCTATCAATACCACCCACCATTCAAACAAACAGGAAAGTAGCCATAATCTTTTAAATTATTTATCCTTTGGGGGTATCCTGTTTTAGACACATCTTAAAATTCACCCATATCTGAAACATCAACGTGAATATCCAGTACCAGTATATGAAGTATATCCTATATGTTGCTATTAGTAGCATCTTGAGCTTTGCAACAAAATCTTGTAAAAATACACTTAAATATGAATCAAGTGTATTTCCCTTGTATCAACTATGGAACATTTCTCTCCCTAAAATTCAGAATGTCTACAATGTAATACTAGTCATGCAGTGAGGTTCCACTGAATTTTAAAGTTACAACAAATTTTACACTTGTTTTTTTCCTACACAGCACACAAGCTTTTATGCACATCTCTCGGTTAATAAAAATGAGTTTGACTCTGGTTTTTTTCTTGCACTTCGTTGATTTACCAAGCACGATTTGGGGGGGGGGGGGGGGAGGAATTCTTAAAAACTATTTTTATTAGTGGTAAATGAACATGTTTCATGGTAACACACACACACACATATATAGCATACCCTGTTAATACACACACAACCTATGTGTTCACAATGCTAGAAGGCCTGGATAGAAACATTTTTAAAGCACTAAGCGTGGTATCTAGGTGTATCAATTTTATAGATTTCACCTGGAAGTTATTTATTATATAGAACTAGTAGAAAATAGAAATGTAGAAAACATTAATGTAGAAAAGTTATTCTCTCACCTGAAAATAATTTGTGATGAGATGCTGATTTTACTTATTTTCAATATTTTTTTATATAGGTGAGGGCACAGATATGTATATATATGCACATATTTATATATATATAATCATCAGTTGCTTAAAAGCATGACTGTTTTCTACTCATATTTTTCAATTATGGGTATTATATAATTATATATACACACACACATATATATGAAATCAGTTGCTTAAAAGCAATTTGTTGTTGGTGTTCAATATCATAAACAAGGGAGAAATGTCTTCTTGAGATAGAATGATAGTTTCAAGAGGCCATTAATTCAACCATGGAAAATGGCTTTGGCAACTATGCCAAAGGGCATGAGGTGTACTATATAAGGAAAACAAGATTCAATTGTAAAGGCTAAAGGGAATATTAAGGAAATAACTTCAACAGTTTAAAAAGCAATAGGCCAAGTACCTCAATGTTGTACTTCATGTATACAGTTTCTTTCAAGTGTAATTAATAAAGGAAACAGTTCACAGCTGGAACTTATGTTATAAACATGAATATGGTGTTCAGATTTAAACAATGTTCTGCATTGATTTCTGTAAAAATTTCATGAACATAATTAATTTGGATTTCCAGTTTGAAAGAAACAATGATGAGTTGTTTTATTTTGAGTAGCCCAGCATTAATCATCTCTCCAAAACTGTACATTACAGACAACCATTCAGTAATAGAATATTTGGCAAGTTTGTACCTGACCTTACTAGTTTACAATTTACTTTCTCACTCACCTTTCATCCATTGGGAAAAGATAGGAGGTTAAGGGACGGTATTTTATCAACAAAGAATGAATCAACAACCAGCTAATTGTAAAGAATTAAGACATACTTTCTTCCATAGAGATGGAAAGGATGTCTTTTTTTTTTTTTTTTAAGATTTTATTTATTTGAGACAGAGAGAATGAGATAGAGCATGAGAGGGAGGAGGGTCAGAGAGAGAAGCAGACTCCGAGCGAACAGGGAGCCTGATGCGGGACTCGATCCTGGGACTCCAGGATCATGACCTGAGCCGAAGGCAGTCGCTTAACCGACTGAGCCACCCAGGCGCCCGGAAAGGATGTCTTTTTTTTTTTTTAATTTTGCCTGTAAAATAATCAAATGTCAAATAAAACCAATACTTTGATTATATTTAAATACATATAGAACCTAATTTTACTTATTTTCTTTTACTTACAGAATTCACTTTTAATTTTACAGCAAAAATTTTACAATGGAGGACATTTATGCTTGCCATTGAACTAAAGATCATCACTTTTTTTTCCTCTTCAACTTCTTAGCTAAGCACCTTCATTGTCTTGATCTGTCCTAGTTCTTATTTTCTTTCTTTGTATGTTGTTATCTTGCTTTGAATTTTCAGTATTTGTTTTCACTAAAACACATCTCATAGGACTCCCAAATTGCTCTTTTCTGTGATTTAATATTGCTCTGGCTATGGCTTGGTCTTTTGCACAAAGTTTCTTCTTTTGGTAAACATTATTTTCCAAAGTGTTCTTTTTTTTTTTTTAAGATTTTATTTATTTATTTGTCAGAGAAAGAGAGCACAAGCAGGGGTTGCTGCAGGCAGAGGCAGAGGGAGAAGCAGACTCCCCGCAGAGCAGGGAGCCCAATGCGGGCCTTGAGCCCAGGACCCTGGGATCATGACCTGAGCCGAAGGCAGACGCTTAACTGACTGAGCCACCAGGTTTCCCCCAAAGTGTTCTTTGTTTTCTATTTGCATCTGCTTCTATTGGTTTCCAGTTTTGAGCCAGGTGGTTTTTCCTTTTTATCCACTAAAGGACTGTAAACATATTTCTCGTTATTCTTATCCATAGAGATTTTCTCTGTCACTCAGCAAATGATCGTATCTTTGCAGCTCTCTAGCAAGAATTTTCATTTTTCTAGATCTCAAACAATAAATCTTGATTTGCCTTTTAACTTTTTGCTTCCTCAGTTGAAATTTTCTGGAGGGATTGTCAGCACTTTTCTCCCTACTTTTCCCTAAAAATGTGCTCTCTGCTATATTTATAAGAGCAAAGAATTAGACCCTTGTGTCTTAGTAGTGACAGGGACTTTATTTTGGCTTCCAAACCTCAAGTATATTATATGTCTGTTGACTGCTATATCTTTATGCTTCTAGATTTTTCTCACAGGCATCTTTGTGGTTTCCTCTGTGTCATTTTATCTGAGGAATGGTTAACTATTTTTATTCTTGCTCACAGACATTCTATTTGTTATACTAGATAAATGATCATATTCTGTCTTTATAGGGAAGACCTTATTTGAGCCTACAGGCTTCAAATATAGCTTGATTTTCTATTGCTTGCTATCTTTGACATACTTAATGGATTTCTGCATGGGTTCCTCTTCAACTTCTGTTTATGGTACCACTGTTTTACTGGGTAGACTAGACGGTACCTCTAACTTTATATTTCTTTTATTCCTGCTTCTGGGTGATCTCGAAGAATCCCTATTGTATTGTTTAAGATTTTATCTGAGGAACTGTCAATAGTTTTATCTTCTGTCTCTCATTGGCTACATTTGTTTCATCATAGAAAGGATTAGAATCCTCCAGATTTATTCCTGTCTTATTTCAGTTTGTGGGAATTTTATGTATTGACCAAAGATTTTACCAGACCAAAATTACTTTTGATTATTTTCCTGGGTCTTAAAAGTATCTTCTCTTTGTTTTTAGGTTCAACTTTTTCATGCAAGGTGTTCATTGGTTTGTCACATTTCTCCATGTGCATAACCCCTGTTGAACTAGCCAAGTGATCAGATTCCTAAAGATTTATACCAGTTTACTTCTTCCTCTTATGTTACTGTCTCTTTTTTCCATAGCTTCATCTTCTGAGTTTTTCTCTTGGAAGTTCTTCACAGTATTCTTTTCATTTTCCTTTATTTGAAATTTTTCTGCTGCTAGAAGCAATGAGACTCCCGAGTTCTATATAAGTTCCGTATCTGTGTCTGTGATATAGGGACAATGCTGACTCAGTTCTGCTTGAAAATTAAGTTCCTATTTCTTCCATTCATCTCTGCACATTATCTGTTGGGCTAGGCAAACATTTAGATTCTTGAAACTTTTTTGTTTTTTAAGGTAGATCTTGTTCTTTGACTAACTCTGTTTTGCAGATTCTTGGTCAAGTCTTCTACTTGGTTCTTTCCTTTAGGAGTTTTGACTGCTGGTGCCTGTTGGGTCTTCTCTGGGTTCAGTCTTTCCCACAGAAGTTTTCAGAAGTTTCCTGATTGTTGTAAGTTCAGTGGATTCACATTTCTCCCTGGGAGCTGTCCCGAGCTTCTTGATTGTCTTATATTCTGGGGTCCACCATTTGCTGTGTGGTTTTCCTAAGGCCCTTGGTTCCTGTTGAGTCTTCCACTGGGTCTCTTGACACCTGTGGGTGAGGTTTTCACCTTTTCCACATTTCCACTTGGGAGATGAGGAGTTCTTGCTGCTTTCGCTCTCTGGTTGTATTGCTTGCTTTGGTGTTTTTATAAGCTTTTTGATGCCTTCAGATTTTCCACGGAGTCTGCATTTTCCTCATTCGTCCCCAGCCCTCTTCTGAGTATTCTTAGATTTTCTCATCATTCTGGTTTGTGTTTGGACTGTTCTAAGCTTTTTGTGGGCATCACAACCATTTATTTATTTCTCTGGTTCTGTTGGGGTTTGCAGGAATTCTTTGATACCTGCCAGGTCTTCCAAGGGCTTCCAAGGGCTCTGGTTTTACCTTAGGTGTTTTCAGCTGCCTCCTGATAATTCCTGTTAGATTTTCTACTGGTTCTGGATTCTGCTTTCAAGTGTCCTAAGCTTTCTGTGAAAGTTATCATCATTTGTTTGTTCCTCTGGGTTTATAGGAGCTCTCTGATGGCTGCCAGGTCTTCCATGGGTTCTGGTTTTATTTTAGGTGCCCTCGGCATTCCTGCGAGAATTCTTAGTTTTTACTGAGGCTGGCTTGTGCTTTGGCACACTCCTAAGCTTTCTGTGAAACTTAATACCATTTATTTGTTCCTGTTTCTTTTGGTGTTTGTTTGTGGGAGCTCTCTGATACCTGTCAAGTCTTCCACAAGTTCTGCCTTTTCCTCAGGTATTTT